AAATCTCTGGAAAGGCAGACTTCAACTACAAGTTCACAACTATCCACAATGGAAAGAGTAAGAAAAAATACATCATAGTCTAGAATAGTCCAAGGTTTTAAATATCGGCCGACATGTCCGACATGTCGGTTTGAGAGCTTGAGCGACACAACATGAGCGTTTTTAACTCGTATGTCGGTTTTCAGGGCTAAATCGAAAATATCGGGGCCATATCGGTTGATTTTTTAGCTTTGAAAATCGACCGAGATGGCCTTTTTTAAAGATATATTTTATGTTATCGGGTTTGGGTTTAGTGATAAAAACCCAAACCCGTTTGACCCGTTCTCATGTTTAAGGGTTTCTTATGAATCTGATAGAAAGAAAAGAAAAAAATTAGGGCTGCAGCGGACTTGGGAACCCATCACTCCTTTCGTGAACGACGACGCCCTTCTCCCACCTCCATCTCGGTCCCCCGTCGTCCATCTCCCGTTGCGTTCCGAAATCTGAAACCAATCGAACCCAAGGGCTGTAGGGTATCCCGTCGTCGGGATAAAGGGAATAGGGTGATCAGTGACTTATCCGAAGGACCCCGAGCAGACGAAGAAGAAGAAGAAGAGTCCCGTTACTGCCTCCCTGCGACGTCTCGTCTCCGACACTGTCTCCCTGCGACGTCGGAATCCACCCATCGGCAGCACCGCCTCTAGAATTTATAAATTATGCTTATATTGAATTTAGGAATGCTTAGATTATATTTAGGCATGATATGACAATCCGATATTTAGTCCATGTTCCCCGATATATCACCAATTTTCGCCATCCGACATGGATTTCAGCCGTCCGATATGAACCCGACATCCGATATTTAAAACCTTGGAATAGTCACATGTGGCTCAAAGGAAAGTCTGAATCAAATAACTGCTCTAACCAACTAAAATTGAAGAAGCGATGGAATAAAAGGTGACCACTATCGCTGGGCTTGCTCCAAATATTTTTGATCCCACGAAGAAAGAACAGTCCCGGAGTCTGTGGTGCGCAAACCCCAGAGGAGTCAGAAAACTCCTAACAAGCATGTAAAATACAGAAATTGTGTGCGTGTAAGTGTATGTGGTAGATATAAAGAAAAGATGAAATCTAAATTAAAGGTAATAACAAAAAATACTAATTGTAGATATCAAGATAAAACCTATCATAAGGCACACAAGCACATTATTATTATTTTATATGTTATTTGAATTAGAGGAGAATATTTTTATGTATATAAATTGGAGTTTCGTAAATCGTTCTGGGAACACGGTTTCAAGTCAAGTATTGGCCATTGGTCTTAATATGTAACTCAGGATATCAAGAATGCACATGAACTCCAGATTGTCTATTTGTTTTAAGTAACTGTACATGAAATGTTCTTCACTAACCATAGAGTTACCATGGAACGGCTTTTGTAAAACTATGAAAAATAACCGTGACTCGAAACATATCCAATCAAGATAGGTGCATCGTCTAGTTGATACTATTATATAATAGTCATAATCAAGTAAAAATTCTCACATTGGGATATTAATGTTGAGAGTGTAGACATGCCTTGATAGCACACTTATGAATCATATTTTGATGGAAGTCATCTTCATGCACAGTTGATCCTATTAGATGTCACTGAGTGATAAAATATAGCATCAGGTGATCAAACCATTGTTTTAAATATCAGCCGATAATCGATATTCTCGGCCGAGTTATCGGATTTTTGAGCTCTCCGCTAGGATAAGTTGGTTTGGTAATCGGTTATCATTTTGGAGAGATTATCGGCGAGTTATCGGCATTATCGGCACTTATCGGCCGATAAGTAAGGTTAAATTATCGGGATTATCGGCCAGACATTTTGAGTTGAGTTGTTGAGTTTTTAAAACCCGACCCGACCCGTTTTGTTAATAATATGAAACTTAAAACCCGAAACTTTGTGAATCCGACCTTCAAACCCTAACTTCGTCTTTGGCGGCTGCTCCTTTTCTCGTTGGGCGCTTCCTCCATTATCTCTATCTCATGTTCTCTGCGTCTTTTAGTCACTCGCCTTCGTGAACTTCAACCTTCAACTTCGTCGCTCGCCTACCCTTTGTCAACCATGTTTTCTTTGTCCGGAAACATGGCTATATACACATGCTGTGAGCTTTCCTTCTCTTGTAATACCTTCACGCACGCACTTTCTCTTTTGAGTAATATCAGTTCTATAACTATTCTTTTATCATACTTTGCTTTTCTGTTTTTCCTGTAACAGAGACTTATATAAGAAATTAGTGAATAAACTGTACATACTTTACTTTTCTGTTTTGATATGTTTATATTTCATTAAGCATGGTTAGAGTACATTTTTTAGTTGTTATATTATATATATACACCATCCAGTATATTGTTCCAATAAATACTACTTATCCCCGATATATCCCCGATTTTCGCTATCCGATAAGGATTTTGGCCGTCCGATAAATCCCCGATAATCGATATTTAAAACCTTGGATCAAACACATCATCAAATGACATCCTCGCTTATCTAAAGAAAAGGAAAGAAAATAAATACATAACACAATTGTTTAGGATCAAAATGAGTCAAACGGGTTTGGTTTGATTGCCTAAAGATCCACAAATTTGATTTTGGTGAGCAAAAAGTCCTAACGGGTTTTGTAATTTGAGTTATAGACCTAAATGGGTCGGGTTTGAGTTCAAAACCGACCCAACTCAAACCCTGCTCAAATGAAATTTTGTGTTCAAAACTGACCCAATTGGGTCGGGTTTGATATTGGACCCCAACCGGGACGGGTTTGAGTTCAAAACCGACCCAACTCAAACCTGGCCCAAATGAAATTTTGTGTAAAACAAAAGGTCGTGGGATTCGAACCAGAGACTACGGACATAGCATGCCAACCAACTAACCGCCAAGCCAAAGGCTTTTTCGTATCAAACCCATTTTCGAAACTTTAACTACATTATTAGTTACAATTCTAAAGAAAATAGAAATTAAAGATAAGAAATGTATGGAGGATTTAGAAAATTCAAATGTTCCATTGTACATAATAATACTAGGAACAAATTATTAAAAATAATTTTATTTCTAGAAAAAAATTTATACATAAATAGAAGATATGTTTTAGTTAGAAAAATCTCTTGTTGTCAAAATAAAAGAATTTTATTTGTTTATTATCTAAATCTAACCACCATAAGAATTAAGATTAAAAGGGGAAATTAATTTCTTATTGGAACAGACACAAATACTTAATTGACATATAAAAAAATAAGGATCATGGGATTTGAACTCGTGACTAAGGAGTTAACAAGTACGTCATCTAACTAGTAGACCAAACACATCTTTGTGAAATAAGTTGCGGTATAAGTACTTATAACAGGTAGTTTCTGTTATTTAGTAGTAGTAGTTTGATTAAAAGATAAAAATAAACCTAAAAATACATAGTTGTACAAAACTTGGCCGGAAATAGATAATAACAACAATATTAAAATTATGGGAAAAAAATGTAAAAGAAAAGTTATTTCCTTGTTAGAAAAATATCATTATCTAGAAGTAAAATGCTTGCATAAAGAGTAAAGATTTTTCCTACAACATTGTAGTCAACAAATGTGATATAGACCAACTACAATCTATTCTATATAGAAATACTAGTATTTAGATAAGGTGATGATGAAAATAAAAGAGTTGAAGGATAAGAAACGCTCGCTGATAAAGAAATTAGAACTATGAAAAATAGAAAACATTATCCGTTCCTTCTTCTAACTTGTCAAAACTTTTCTGTCGCTTTCTCTATTCTCTCTTTTTATTTTTTCCTTCGTGCGTTTTTGTGAAGAAAAAGCGAAGGAGATAGATAAGCTCTTAAAGGAGATAGAGTTGTTAACAAAAGATTAGGTAGCTAGAGATTTTTAGTAAGAAAGAGAGGAGTTGGTTGAGATTTTCTCTTTGTTTTGTTAAACATGGTTTTCTCTTAAAGGAGAGAGGATTTTTTTCCTGTGAGGAGAGATATGATTGCTCACAGATACATGAGGATAAAACCCTAAGGGTAACTTAGTTCAAATAACTTTGGGCTTTAAGTCTAAATTGGCCTTTCTAAGAAAAAAAGTGGGCCTTAAAACCCTCATGCATGAATATATAACTAGTATCTGTGAAAAAATTAGGTATTACACCAAGAGATTAGGATGATATTACAAAATACGTACGAGATAAAATCATATCTAATCACATCTCACAATATCTCATTATATCTTATGCTATCTGCTAAATCTAAATACTAATAATATCGAACACTTCCTCTCAAGCTGGAGCATATGTATTATATATGTCCAGCTTATTACGACTTACAAATGGAAGCAAAAAAGCTAGTTGCAAGAGCTTTGTAATATCATATTTCTCTGAAATATTTGAAGACATCAACAATAAAAAAGTGTAGTCACAACCAGATGCTAGTAGAAACCCTTAACGGGTCGGCTAGTAGAAAGAAACCTAGGTAGGTTAGCCAGTGAAGAGAAACCCTAGGCGGATTAGTTGGTAGAAAGAAATCCGAGGCGGGTTAGCTAGTAGAACGTCGGAATCAACTGTGTACTTTTGCATCTAACCATTTGATGAGGACAGAGTGTTCGCGATGAACAGTTCACGTGGGGTAACTGTTCATCAATAGCTATGATGAACAGTAAAATTTTTCTCTTTTGAGGTTAGGGTTTCTCAGGGGTAGAGTTTTTTTTATTAGGTTTCAACAAAGATTTAGTAAATTAATGATGTAGAAATCAAAGATATTGTCGAAACCGCTGAAGGTGTTGTCGTGGTCGCTGAGGGGAAGCATAGAGGCAGTAAAACTCCTCAGCGACTCTGAGGTCGAGGAAACAGATTGTTGTCTCTCTAAGATCAAGGATCAAGAAGGCTAATACCATATGGAGAAATAGAAAAAGTTTTTATTCATCTAACCCTAATCTCTCTTAAATACAAAGATTAGGAGGATATTATAAAATAGGTACGAGATAAAATCTTATCTAATCACATCTCACAATATCTCAAAATATCTTATAATATCTGCTTGATCTAAATACTAGTAATATCTAACAATCTAGCCAATGAAAAACTAGCAAAACTGAGAACTGCTTTATTCCGTAGCTTCTCTATAAGAGGTTAAACAACTCTAAAAGGCATGGTGAGCACATTGGTTATCTGAATGATATATTATATATACATACTATGTATTTATTAAGTTACTGTCAAACTGTACAATCTTACCTGTTCTGTATGGATCACAAATGGGGAAACTGAGAAATACAGTATTTTGAATTGAGAATGTAGAGAGAGATTCATGAGACGTGCGAAAGGGAGTAGGTACACCTGTTAGAAGCTACGAGCACCTAGGTAACAGAAAGTTTTCACTTTCTGGTTGTTTCAATGATACCTGCGACTTGAGTAATGGAAGAGGATGATTCAATACCCATAACAGTTTTATGTTGCAAAAATCAAGTTTCAAGGGTTGACTCCATGAGTAGTGGAAACTAATATTTCACTAGCATTTCCCCTAGAAGCCTCTGAACATTATCATAGATGGTACTACTATAGCTGCAATCTGCAAAGCTTCTCACAATCTGCCTATGTAAAGATCCTCATGATCAGTTATTTATCATCTATGAAACTTACATTTTACTTTCACCCTGTTCATGTCTATCCTAACTTTACACACAGTAGGTATTTTCAGACTTAAAAAAATTTACTGATGAGTTCAGTGTGTCAATTGACAAAGTTAAAATTCATCTTGTCCCATCAAATTTGTGACTGTAGGTTATTGAGCCTGATGCCCAACCGGGTGATTTATGTACTCGTCGGGAGTATGCTCGATGGTTGGTATCTGCAAGCAGTGCTCTTTCAAGGTATATGTTTCCCATCTTTGATACACTGAGTCAAATCATGTATGAAATGTTACTTTTTCGTATGTAGAATTTGTCCTGCCTCGTTCTATATGTTTAATATGGTTGGGGATGTTTGATGACTAAAACCAGGTTCTTTTCCTCAAGTTTACTTTTTAATTTTTTTCCCCACAGGAATCCAATATCAAAAGTTTATCCTGCAATGTACATAGAGAATGTAACAGAGCTGGCATTTGATGATGTCACTCCTGAAGATCCGGACTATTCATGCATTCAAGGTTAGTATTTTTACTTTGGGATTATGTGTAATTACAGTAGTTTACTTTAGCTGATTTATTATAAAATTGTCAAACTGCAAGTACAGGCTTAGCAGAAGCCGGAATAATCTCTAGCAAGCTTTCCGAATCTGATCTGAAAGGAACTTCCGGTGGAGAGCAGGATTCTTTCTTCTTCTCTTCTGAGAGGTGATAATGCATGATGTTCTTTTTCCATAATATCTCATGTTGTTTCCTAGAAATATTTTAAGCTTTGTTTGTCAAACCATTTGCAATGCAGTCCTGTATCACGTCAAGATCTTGTCAGTTGGAAGATGGCTTTGGAGAGAAGGCAGCTTCCAGAAGTCGACAGAAATGTATCTATAAATGCTAAATTTATTTGGATTTCCTATTGTTGGTACAGGTTGAAAATCAGAATGTCACGTTGATTACTGACAACTATTGTCTTTATGACCAGTACCTGTACAAATGCTCTGGATATATAGACATCAATAGAATAGACAAAGATGCTTGGCCTGCTTTGGTTGCTGATTTGTCTGCTGGAGAACAGGGCATCGTAGCGCTTGCTTTTGGTATTCAATTTACCTTGTATCGTCAGGTGATTGTTTAATTTTATGATAGTGCTAATATTTTTCTGCAATTTATAGGTTACACCAGATTGTTTCAGCCTAACAAACCTGTCACAAAAGCACAAGTTGCTATTGCTCTTGCTACTGGTGATTCGGCTGAGGTGGTTGCGGAGGAACTTACACGGCTTGAAGCAGAATCATTGGCCGAGACTGCTGTGAATGCCCACACTGCTTTAGTAGCAGAAGTTGAGAAAGAACTTAATGCTAGTTTTGAGGCAGAGCTTTCCAAAGAAAGAGAGAAGATAAACTCTCTGGAGAAATTGGCCGAGGAAGCAAGGGTCGAATTGGAAAGGTTAAAAGCTGAAAGAGATGAAGAAAATAATGCTCTTTACAGGGGACGTGCTGCTGTTGAATCAGAAATGGAAGTCCTTTCAAGACTAAGACATGAGGTGGAAGAGCAGTTGCAAGACCTCATGAGTAATAAGATGGAGATAGCTTTTGAGAGGGATAGGATTAATAAACTTCGAAAGGAAGCAGAAAGTGAGAACCAGGTCATTGTCCAGTTGCAGTATGAATTGGAAGTTGAGAGGAAAGCTTTGTCCATGGCAAGGTAAAAGCATAAAAGCTGCCAACTCCAAAACTCACTTTATAGTTTTATCTGTTTCATAATATTATTTCTTAATTTGTCCTCCAATTACTGCATAATTCCTGCCCATTATATTGCAGCTTTGTTAGCGATATCAAAATTCAATGCACCTTCATTATGTAGAATCAGATTGTATTCCTTGCTTAGGACAAATAGTGAACCAGTACTAATACTCGTGAAACAGGAGAAAATGTACATGGTCCATAATTAAGTGGTGTGCATATGGATAAAACAAACCAAGAAACTTAGCTGCCTGATACAGAAAAATGTATATGACGAGTCAATAAGTTGCACGTTCTTCATTCCTAAACTTGCTAATTCGAAATAATGGAACTGCATGCAACATCTGATGTGAGCGACTAAAAGCATAGGGGTCAGGAATAGAGATGTTTTTGGTGTTCTGCTCCTTAGAAAGGCTATGCACTTTTTTTTTTGGTTCAATCTGTTAATTCAACATGAGAATTGGCGACTAACTAGTTTATGGCAATATGAGTTTAGAATACTCAATTTACACGAAGGATAAGGCTTTAAATTATGTATGCTAACATGGGGGTGAATTGTGTACCTGCGACCCAATAGAAAATAGCAATTAACATACATAAAGTGTCGGGACAAGTCAGGTTATTAGTTGGAGCGCGTAGGATGACAGGTAGATCACAAGTGATTTGGGTTGCTACTTGCTACAAAGAAAGTACGAGTGCTTAGTTAACAAGGCTGGTTCTTGCAGAGCATAATGGAAGAAGAAGATTATTTTAGCCGACCCCCC